GCCAAATGATTCTTTGCTATGGGGCTGTCTTATGCATTTGGAAGATGTTTAGCAGCACCTCTGGCTTCTACCCTCTAGAAGCCAATAGTGGGAGATAAGCTACACACTGAAAATATCCAAATCAATAAAGCTATTGGTGAAAATGAAGAATGTGTCTTTTATTTTACAGAAAAAGACGAAGGGGACTTTTTGGCCAGCCCGTTAGTTCAGAGTTACAAAGATGGCAGCTTAGAGACAGACCAAAGTAAGGTACCTAGACATAGAGAGTGTGTTCAGTTACTTTGTTATTTATTTAGACCAGGGCCTAATTTTGTAATTTGTTAATCTGCTAACAAGTATCATCAGATCATCAGCAAAGTCTTGTGGAAAAGGAGTTCTCAAGGAGGGTTAGCAACAGGGGAGTGGGAGGAGGAGAAGGGGGGAGAAGGTACAGAAAATAAGTAGCATAGACAGTAGATAGAAAATAGATGGGGGGGCAAGAATAGTATGGGAAATATAGAATCTAAAGAGCTTGAGACACATGGTCATAAACTAAAGGGGGGGTAATGGTGGAGACGGGAGGGTAGGGTGAAGGGGAATGAAGGGGGGAATAGAACAACTGTAATGGCATAATCAATAAAAAAATTAATAAAAAAAGAAAAAGATGATCAAAAATATGAACAATAAAATGAAAAAAAAAAGAAAAGGAGTTTTAAGGCATCTTTCACAGAGTCCTCAAAAAGAGAATACTTCGAATGTAGCTTCCTTTACCCCTCAAAACAAGTCAAGTAAAGGTGACAAAGAGAAGCTTGTGTGTTACTTAGGTGACAGCAAGGAGAAATGGCAAATAGGCAGGTACAGAGTGAAGTTTCCTAAAGAGAAAAAGAGTGGATTTCAGCAGTTTTCAGATGAAAAGGTTAAAACTGGTTTATTAACATTTTAGTGCCATTTAAAATTTTATAGATTTATTTTTATTGAGATTGTAATTGATATGTAATATTTATTAGTTTCAGGTGTACAACACAATGATTCAATATGTGTATTTATTACAAAATGATCACCAAAATAAGTCTACTTAAGATCTATCAACACACGGTTACAAATTTTTTAAAAAATTAACATTCATCACCTTTTCTTAGGTAATGACTTCTCTTATAAATTAAAAGATATATATTAAATTGAATTGTAATAAACAGATAAATGAGAAATTTCAAAAAATGGGAACTATTTACTCTAGGATCCTGAATATTATTAATTTAAAACCATCCATTTGTACAAATTATGTTCTGGCGGTATCCATCAACTATATTTTTCTTGCTTCCTTCCATTGTAAAAGTGAACATATTTTACTAAGATGACAAATTTCCTGAAGTTTAAGAGAATGCTCGTTGAATCTCCCTAATGTTACCTTAGCCCTTCTGAAATATCAGACCTTGAATCTCCTTAATTTCTGACCACCTTAGAAATAAAACATTAAATGGAGGGTATTCCTCAGGATTTACCATTTTTATATTACATGTATTGGTAAATATACAGCATATAAAATATGACATGATATGATTATTAAAATGATAAAGAAACAAAAGTACAGTAGAACTAACGACAGACCCAGCAGACCAGTCAAAAGGGCTCATCTGTTCCGAGCTGTGCTGGAAGGCAACGTGTGGCAGAGCAGTTCATAGGCCCTGGATGGCTCCCCCGTGTCGGCCTCCTGAAAGTTCTACACTGATAGCTTCAAGAAACTAGCAGCATACTTCACCTTGGAAAAGTAATATTCTAAAGACACTGCCATTAGTGATTTTATGTACTTCTGCATACCCTTCTTGAATTGGAAGTAATGGATAAGTTCAGGTAATAATTTTTGTTCTCTTTCAAATTTTATGACTAAAATATTGAGTTGTGTTTTATGGCCTACATTTATTATTCTCTGTGCAGTCAGCCAGCAGCTTTAGGCAAAGAATACCTTCAGAGTCTGGAGTCTGATGCAAAGAAATGAGAGGTTTAAAATGAGTAATCATGTATTCTGGAAGCATGAGAATTGTTCAAAGGTTCTGAAACACAACTAAATACTGCATACTGTATAATATATGAGAAATAATTTCCTAACTCTCTGTACAGTTTCTTTTTCTTTTATGACTAGGATGATGTTCTATTTAAGTATGGTCCAGGATTGTAGCTATAAAACTTTATTTCCACGCAAGGAGTTTAGGAAGATTTTTTTGGAAGAAGAGTTTGTTTAGCAAAGTACACAGTGGCAAAGGCAAGAAATTTTCAGTTAGGAGGAATTTAACAAGGTCACAGGAATTTTTCTGTCTCGGTTTCTAAGAGTCAAGCTGAAAGAGAGAAATTTAAAGCAGTGGGTTCAATAACAAGTAAGGCTATATAATAAGGCTATATAACATTTACACATCAGAACCAAACTCTGAGAGTTCTTCAGATCTTTTTCTTTTAAATTTGGTTTTCATTTTAATAGACCAGACACAGTTGTGAATATAGCTTGTTTAAAAAGAATAAGAACCTGGCTTCCATGGAAGAAAGAGATGGAAAGGACCGGATTCTGACCTGGAATCTAAGCTTAGCAGCACCCAACTTTCTGCACGGTCTGCAAGGTCCTGAAGCTACCGGTCACTCTGACACATGCTGGTTTCCTTATTTACCAAAGCATGAGTCTTAGTGCATTTGGTCCTCCACTTACAATGCTCCTCGATATACAAGGTGTTAATTTAAAATCGTTCAGCTTGTGATTTTTGACTTTCAGATGGTATGAAAACCGTATGCATAACAATTTACATAAGATACTCAAACTTTATTATAAAATAGATTTTGTGTTAGAAAATTTTGCCCACTTTATCTGGTATCTTTAGGTTCATTTAAATGTTCTGAATATATTTAAGTTAGAGGAGACTAAACTGTAATGTTCTGCAGGTTAGGTGTATTGAACCCATTTTCAGCTTAGGGTATTTTTGACTTATGATGGGCTTTTAGGCCATTAATTTGATCATAAATTGAGGAACATCTGTGATAAGCGAAACAGTGTATTTGTACATGAAAACATTTGGAACATTATGCTGTAAGTTTTTTTATTAGGGAAAAGCACATGCCAAGCACACTTAGTCTTCATGCTAGTATAAATTTATGTCACAGGCTAGCGAGGTTGTAAATTCAGTTTATTTTATGGTTTTTAGCATCCTATACCTTCAGAGCCAACCTAAAGAATTCTGCACCAGGATTTTTGTTGTATTTAGCTGAACAGATCCACCTTCATTTTGAGCACTCACTGGCCATTATTGATAGTGATGACTAAAATCCAGTCAGAATATGTTAAAATTATGCACTATGTAATACAATTCCAAGACACTACTGAGGCATTTGAGAAATCATTTCCTGTCTCAGAATATAGAGCAAGAGCAGAAACAAAATTATTTACGCATAACCTCAGTCTTCCTCCCTCGAGTACAGGGAAAGAACAAATGCACTATGGGGTTTTCTTTGAAGAGGTTTGTGTTTACTACGTTTGTTTTTTCTTGTTTTTACAGGAGAAACTTTGTTGGCCTTTAAAATGTAATTTAGCAATGTAACTGATTTTTTTTTTGGCCACCAATAAAATAAATACATAGGACAAAATGAATGCATACTCATTTCAGCCTGTAAAATTTGTTTTTAAATTATGCTATTTGCAGCCAGGGGAAAAAAATGAGATCATTTCTTTCCCTTCTGCCAAAGGCAAGCTGATTTCTCCACCCACGTGGACAGTTGAGCAGTAAGTCTAGCGTGCTAGAGTACTTGAGTCTCCCGACTCTCGTCCTGCAATCTGTGGGCACGTACGCATTCACACTAGTACACCGGATGGGGCAAGAGGCAGTTCGCACGGAATCTTCTGTTTCAATACTGACCATGTAGCCATCCCGTGTGTCCACCGCATCTGCCCACTGGATGGGGAAGGAAAGAAAGGGTACTCAGTAGAGTGCAGCTGCTCCCAACCCTGTCTCCCATTTACATACATTGTACTCCTCTTCCCAAGTGCGTTCCAAGCGCTGGATCACACACTCACTCACCGGCGCACTCAGACACGTGCGCACCGTACCTCGCCCAGCCGCAGGCCGGGACGCGTCCTAGGCGCACCCCAATCACCCCGCAGCCAGTTCCGCCGCCTCACCGCACCCACCCACACTCCACGTGGGCGCACCCCGGCGTCAGGGGCCCCGGCGGTCCAAGAGCCCCTGGGCGGCCCCGCTGTGGGAGGGAAGGCGCGGCCTTGGGGTCGGACGGACAAAGCGGGCATCCAATCGAGCCCGGCATTGCCTCCCCGAAGAAAGGGAGGTGCAGCTCGGACGGGCCCAATGAGCGGGGAGCCCGAGTGGGACTTCCTCCGGGAATCCCGTTGGCCAGAATAGCGGAGCCGTGGGTGACACGTAAGTTGGGCGGGAGACGGCGGCGGCCGAGGCTCCGCAGCCCCGTCAGTGACACCGGCCTGCCATCCCCCAGAGCCGGGGGAGCAGCAAGCCCCCACCCGTCACCCACCCCACCCCATCCCCGCGGTGGCACTGCCTGGAGTCGGGGTCCCTTTGTTGGGCGCGCACCCCCTCCTTGCGGTGGCAAAGAAGTCGCGTAGGGGGAACAGCCGCGAGGGGGCGGGGAGCGGCCAGGGCGGGACTCCGAGCTCCGCCGGGCACAGCCGGGCCAAAAAGTGGGGAGGAGAAATAAAGGCAGGAGGCGGCCGGGGACCGCGGCGAGGACACCGCGCTCAGAAGTATGCGGAGGGCCCCCTCCCAGGCCCCGGCACTCGCAGATCGCCAGCCTCGCAAAAGTTTGGCGGCGGCTGCCCCGGCGGCGTCCATGGCCGTGCGCCCCACGGCGCGCGGGGGCTGAGCGGGCGCCACTCGCCTCTGGGCCCCGCTTTTGTGTCTGTCTCGCGTCTCCTCATGCTGCGTCCGGCCACCTCCAGGGGCGGCCGCTGCTGAGGCGCTCGCTCGGGCGGAGTGGAGGCTGGGACGGCCGCCGCGCGCGGTCCGGCGGGGACTATGGGAAACGGGATGTGCTCCCGAAAGCAGAAGCGGATCTTCCAGACGCTGCTGCTGCTGACAGTGGTGTTTGGCTTTCTCTACGGCGCGATGCTCTACTATGAGCTGCAGACGCAGCTGCGGAAAGCCGAGGCGGTGGCGCTCAAGTACCAGCAGCACCAGGAGTCCCTTTCCGCCCAGTTACAAGGTACGGTTAATGGACGCACCAGGCCAGTGGCCAACTTTGTCCCACGCCTCCGCCCCCGCTGGAAAAGTGGCTTTGGTGAGCAACTGGCACTGCGGGTGCCACCTCCGACCTTCAGAGACATCAGAGGCCAGCCCTGCAGGGTCCCCGGGCCCTCTGAAGTGTCAGGGGAGGTGACATCCCCATCTTCCAGGTTCCAAAGGCGGTTACCTTTGAAACGGGTAGCACCAGCCCCTGGTCCTGTTGGGCCTTGGATGGGAGGGTGCACACCGTGTCTTTTACTCCAGCACTTGTCAAAGGCCCAGCTGCATCGGAGCAGGCAAACCTCCAGCCCTCGCTCCGCTTCTGGCAGCTCACTCCGAAGGTGTAGTTTCCTGGTTCCTAGGTATTTGCTTCCATTTGACTTTGTCAGTAGCCTAAGAAATGGGGCGCTTGGCAGAGACTTCTCGAACTGTGCTGGTTTTCTTTTTTTCCCGGAGAAATTAAGCCATGGCGTTCCCTGTTGGACCCAGCAGCCCAAACTAATGGCCTAGTCAAATGGATACGAGACCTGCTGGCTTCTGTTAACTTAGCAGGGCGACTTAGGAGATGTTGGATGTGTTGCAAAAGTCCACGGTGCCACTGTTTACCATCCTGTAAAGATTTTTTTTAAAGTTTGTCTTCTTGAGTAACATTTAGTTTATCACAGAGATAAGTGTGTGTGTGTTTTACAGTTAGCCGTGAGACGTCCCAAAAGAGAAACACAGTTTTTCACTTTGCCAGACAGAGCAAACATCACTTGAGCAAGACCTGCAGTGGGACCCAAAGCTCCTGTTCTTCTATTTTAGAATCTCATTTAATGTGAATTTCAGAAACACAAATGATGCATGACTGCAATGTTAGCACCGGGTTGTCTTGTTGAGAAGACAGTCATATATATATATAGCTTTTCTGTGTACTTGTGGTTAGTTTTCAACACTTAGGTGGCCCTCTCTCCAACCAAAAAACAATGATCAAGAGCTGTGAGCAGTGAAAGGTTGACAGTTTTTGCTGCCAACGCAAATACGGCTTATTTCATGTTACCAGGAGGCCACGAGCTGAATACACGTATCTGTCAGTGTACATGTATACAAATATTAAACAGATGCCTTTTCGTTGCTCCAGCTATTTTGAGTCTTTTCTAGTAAAAAAATTAAGATGAGAGAAAATGATGCACAGCTGATTGCTTGATCTTATTTGTTCTTCCCAATTTAGCAGAAAGAAAAGTATTTTTAGCCTACTGAAGCTGCATGGCCTCAGGCAGGGGAAATATGTTAGCTGGTCTTAGTTTAGATAGAAAACCTGTTTTAATAGTTTTAGAAATTTTTTCCCTTAAACTCCTGGATGTTTACCTGTGAATTATATTGTTAGTATTCAAAGTGTGGATCTGTGTTTGGGTACTTATTTACTTAATCGATAGCAGCAGCCTCCCTGGGAAGTTCAGTGCCATCAACCAAGGGAAAAATCGCTAATAGTACAGCAGCAGGGCTGGGTTTTCACACTCATGGCTGGAAGGGGCTTGTAGGGTGGCTTCTGGGGGTTGGTGCCTTGGTCTCAGTTTCGCAGCCCCATGAGCAGGCACCGCCATGTTGGTTGGTACATCCTCAGCACTGCCCAGGACCTGACATTCAGGAGGGGCTTGATATGTATTTATTCAGTCAACAAGCAAAATTATCCTGAACTGCAGTGAGAAAATTAATGTCGTGTACTTTTGTCTGCTTTCTCAGACTTCACTTCCCTGTCTCCGCTTTGTGAAAAGCCAAACAAAGTAACAACAATGAAATGTTTTACCCAAGTAGTGGCTTTGCCCGAACTGCCAATGCCAAAACTCATTGACCAAGCAAGACCCCGATTTCTGAGTCATGGCCTTTATTTGCAGCATTCCGTTTTGAAAATCAGTCTCAATTTCTTTTCTCCTTTTGTTTGCCTTCTTTCAGTGGTAATGAGAGAAAGTGGTCATAAGTGGTAACGTAAGACTATTATAATACACAACATAGCTTTGCAGCCGCAGAAGAAATGGTGTGGCTAGTTTGATTGAGTTGCCTTAAAGTCCATTCTTAATTTACTCTTTTGCAACTTCCTCTTGAGTTGTGGTGCTGCAACAATTATAATGTCATTAAGCTCGGAGAATTGTTTCCCAAGCAGGCTACAATTTCTTCTTTTTAAAATGGATTCCCTATTGACTTCTGCAGCATTTATTTTGGGTTTCACATCTTCAGGTCATTTACTAAGATTTTCTGACCCTGTGCAGACTTGATCCCTTTTCCGAGGACAAGTGACGTTTTCCTCAGGTACGTTGCGTACCACCTGCACTTGTTTTTAGGGCATTAGACTCTGTACTTAAGACTTGTTTAGTTTTGTGAGATCTCTTGACCTGGCTTGGAGAAAGATCAGAGTTATTTATGAGTGGCCTTCTTTAAAAATATGACTCTTGAAATGTTTAAGTAGTTTTGCCCTGTATCCTGATGCGATACATTTGTTAAGTGAGCACATTTAGGTCATCTTCAGTTTAAGAATGGGTTGTACTCCAGAGCTTATTCTGAAAGTGGGTTACCTCTAATACCAAGTGCATTTTGTAGTAGAACAGTCCCAACATAGGAGATGGTGGAGGGGACACAGGGAAAGTTCCAAGACAGGCGCCCCCTCCACTGAGAACCAGCATCTATGTCTGTCAGCCTGTCCGCGTCTGCCGTCCATACTGCACCGTATTTATTCTGAGGAGGGGCGGGCGTTCCCTGTTGGTGGCAGAGGCAGTGTTAAGAACCTTTGACCAGCACAGTGTTTCCTTAACCTTTTACATTTTTGAAAACTCCTTTCCAGTAGGCCATGCACCATTGTCTGCGTGTACACACGCTGGTTCTCAGCTTTGACTGGCCGTTAGAATTACCTGGGCAACTCACAGGCCAATTCAATCGCAGTCCAGGGGGGCGGAGCTCACCTAGCAGTGTTCCCATTACACGGGGCAGCCAGGGTGGAGAGCCACAGCTGGGATATTACCACTGAACCACCTCGCACAGTCACTCTGCCAGCTTGGCCGCGAAGACATCTGAAGTTTCTTTTCCTCGAGCATGTGATTCAGATTCTAGCCCCCGGGACTTTTTATGTGAACTTGGGCCTCACGTTTTAAAATTTATGTACTGGAGATTAGAATGACCTATTTCATCAGGGTATTGTGAGGATAAAATTAATTCCTAGTAACCTGCTAGCACACCTGACACATAGTAGGTACTGCTCACTAAGGATTTGTTGTTACTGGTGTCATGGTCCCTCTTCTCAGGTTTGTCATGGGTAAAATTTTGAATTGATAAAATTAGTTTTTATCATTATCCACCCCCCTTTATTGTATTGAAATGAAAGACACTCAAAGAAAATCGGTGAACTGTCATAAATCTGAGTACTTTACTCTGGAGCAGGGACCTTCCCTGACAATTGAAACTCAGTATGGTTACTGATTAACTCGCTTGTATAGCATTTCAGGTGAGGACAGGGTACAGCTGCTAGAGATAGGCAATAGCCTTGTGCAGCAAGATCTGGGAGAGAGATATGGCTTTACATTTTTAAAAAGTAGGGACAGTGTGTTCCTCATTCTTAAAACATTTTACGACATTGTTTCAGTGCCTTTGGTCTTCCCAGTGATGACCGGAAACCATAAAGGAAAGGTTTATATAATATTTTCTTTGCTTCTGTTCCAGATAAGTGTATTACAGTGATTTTGAGTTTTTAAAAAGATTTTATGTACTTACTTTATTTTTAGAGAGAAGGGAAGGGAGGTAGAAAGAGAGGGAGAGAAACATCAATGTGCAGTTGACTCTCATGTGCCCCCATCAGGGACTTGGCTGGCAACCCAGGCATGTGCCCTGACTGGGAATTGAACTGGGAATTGAACCCGTGTTTCTACGGGTCATAATGTTATTTAAGTTAGTTGTCCTTTGCATCATGTTCCTCTAATAAGCAGGATGGTCTGCTAGCCAGAACATGAACACCTTTTACTGTAACTCCTTACTTTGTTTTCCACCTCCACTGAATTTGCTGGAAGGAGGAAGGAAAGGGAAGGGAAGGGAAGGGAAGGGAAGGGAAGGGAAGGGAAGGGAAGGGAAGGGAAGGGAAGGGAAGGGAAGGGAAGGGAAGAAGAAAAGAAAAGAAAAGAAAAGAAAAGAAAAGAAAAGAAGAAAAGAAAAGAAAAGAAAAGAAAAGGAAAGACTCTCCCTCAGTTCAGAGCCAGGCTTTTTTTTTTTTATTCTTTCACCTTCAGTGCCTGGTCCCTGGCATATAGTAGGTGCTCAAAAAATATTAGGTCTGTGCCTTTGGAGAATTTTCTCTTTGCCTATGATAGGCTCATATGTGGTAGGCAGTGGAGTGGAGTGGATAAGAGCTGGAGTCAGAGTGGTTGGATTTGATTTCATCCTTTTCTTTTCTTTTTTCTTTTCACTTGTATGATCGTGGGCAAGTTACCTAACTTCTCCGTGACTCATTTTAATCATATGTAGTAATTACGACAATGGTGCTTATGCTAAGTTGTCATGAGGGTCAGTAGTGATAGCTTGGAAGGCTACAGCTTGCATTCTGGACTGTCGAGGAATCTCACGTACCACAGAGTAGTTCGCAGACCTCAGTAATTTAGACTAACAGGTGTGGGCAGCGCATTGTTGGTATACTCATTTTGAAGTACAAAGTTAGGACTTACAAACATCACTTAGATATTAACTAGTAAATAAACATGTTCACTGAAGTACATCTTGTAGTTAAAAGGAAATACTTACCAAGCTGTTTTTGTTTCATTCTATTGTGTTTAAAAATGGAACAGAAATACTTTCTAGGCTTAGTGGTTTTTATTTGTGTGTAAAATTCTACCTTAAAACCCATTCCCTGAATAAAAGATAAAAACTTTTATACATTTGAAAATTTTCCCAGTTAAGTAGTCCTGAATATATATGCTTTGCAAAAATTTTGAATCCACACATTGTGTCTTCCTCAGTCATCCTTAT